TCCTGTGATGGAACTTCCCTTTGATCTTCCGCATGGTATGTCTCCCCAAAAGGCATGCTTCGTTTCGATGAGCTTACCACCAAAACGCTTGACTGCTTGCATGCCCCAACTTTCGACATTTCTGCAAATTTAAAACCAAGATGGGTCAAATGAGATGCCATCTCTCCAGCAGCTCTTGACTCATGGACAAAATTCAGTTTCTTAACTTTCTTTAAATTTTGTAATATTATTTGGCGGCTGCCGGAGGCCACGAAAGTTGGCCTCCTATGGCTCATGGTTCGCTTGGCTGTCCCAACAGCTGAGTGGGCCTCAACTAGGAGCCAGTTCACTGACTCTCTTTGCTTGGTGTGAGGCCCAGGGCCAGAAGATTTGCTGCACCTCTGGGTTACTTGCCCATTACAGCAAGTTTTTTTTTTTTTTTTTTGTGGTCCGATGGACCACGGATCAGATATTACAGCAAGGTTTTTGGTGTCTTTGACCGGAGCTTTGTCAGGCACCCTCCCCTCTCATGCTTTGTGATGGTCGGGTGGCTGATACTTTGTTGGGCATAAATGTTAGAAAGGGTACGGATCCAAGGCTTTACGTCTCAGAGATGGTTCGCGCAACAATTCTTTCTGCTTTTTGGGAAATCAGGAATGCTTGTGTTCGACAGGACAAGACTTCCTCCCTACTTCACATGCAACGGTTGGTGATTGTCGCAATCAGACACAGTTTTCAGGCAGACTTTCTACACAGGCACCATTCCGAACCAGTGCGGCCACACGGGGCCACATTCTTTTCTGGCTCTAGCCTGGGGCTGATTTCCCTAATTTCATCACATTCAACTTTGAAGAAAACAAATATTATTTTGGGCCTTCACTCTCACCTCTGTGGTTTGATCCAAAGGTGCAGGCCCATCCGGGGCCAAGTCCCACTTACCCGAATGATCGATTTTTGACCGCAGATTCGGAGGATCAACGGCCAGAAATCACGGATCAGCGTAAGTGGGACTTGGCCCATCCGGCCTCTCGTGAAGATTGTCATTAGCCTCAGGAGGGGCCAGTCCCCTTTCTGCAGCAATAGGGCCTTCCTATTCATGACCATTGCAACATCCTGTACTTGCAGTTAACTTTTAGTTGTAATTTTAGTTGTTGTTGTTTTTTTTTTTTTTTTTTTTTTTAGGATTGTTGTATAATATTTTTCTGGTAACAGATAGGAATCTTGGTTGAAATTGTAGTTGCTTGACTTTTGCACAATACTTCAGGTAGTAAGATAACCGCGGTTGGTCATTCGGAAGATTTCATAGAGGACCGCTCTCCCCCCCGGGGGTCCTCTTTAATAGTCAGGATTTTCAGGCTTTTCTGATCATCTTGTGTTGACTGATAAATTAATCCTTTCTGTGTCATATTTCTGTTTCTAAATGTGTCTTTATCACAGATTCTTTTCTTTTTATCACTTTTAAAGGAAGTACAAGGTAGGACGGATGGCCTCATAGCATTTTAGTATGATCTCTACTGTTTATTAGGCAGGCCTGGCACTTTAGCTAGTCTCCCGCTGCCTGTTCGTAACCTTAAGAAGTTATGATTTTTGGTTCTTCTGATCCTTGTATTTTCCATGCTTGCCGGTGATATAAGTAACCGGACTGGTTCCCCCCAGAATATAAAGGGGCTGTCTTTTGAGAAAAAGAAAGAAAAAACAAATACTGGACCAATCAAGTAATTCTGAATTACCTCAGGGTGGGTCAGTCAACGATCGTATCTCAAGGATGTTGCCCTTTTAAGAAAAATGAAGCAAAAGGAAGATAAGGAAAAAAGGAGGGAAGCATGGGTGCATATCTTATTCAGACTTATTGTATTTTCATGACTTGCAGGGGGAAAAGTAACCAGACTAACGCTCCCCAGAATGGATATGGAGCCAGGACCATAAGGCCCTGTTTTGCTTTGAGTAAATAATAAATAAGTAAAGAAATAAATAAAAAAGGGAGGGCGGGATAAGCATCACGGGTTACGTGTATGAGGTTGTCCGTGAGCTATTAAGTTATTAACTTTAGAAGTTTAGAATCATCAGTTCAGCATGTAGACTACGTGATGAACATCCATGAGCTCGTCACGATATCGCCGATTTCGAGAGCGCAGTATCGCCTATTTCGAAACCAGATAGCAGACAACCTACCTCTCTCTTGCTAACTAACCTCTCTTAGTGTGTCGTATCCAAAAAAAAAAAAAAAAAAAAAAAGTATAGAACTTGCCAGTCTTGTCTGAAGCGCAGGCATCTTAGAAAGCGAATTCTGTCTGTTTTAAAAATCACTCAGCGAAGCTCTCGTCCATCGTAAGACGTAGTTTCCATAGCATCATGATCATGTTGGATATCCTTAGCCGAAGCCGGGTGATGGCACCGGTATCTCAAATGGTTCTATAGGGCCCGGTTCCCAGCACGCGCTGCTCCCCACGATTCGAGCACTGTTTCAAACAAAAAAAAATAAAAATGTAAAGCCCAGGTGCATCATTATGATAGCTCTACCAGCAATACAAGCAGAGAGTCTCATGAAGCCACAATGGATATTAATCATATTATGCAGTCAATATGCCGATATTTTTTGAGGGGCAGCTGTCTGGCAACTGTTGCAGTGGGGCTTTTGAGTCCTGACCCAATATTTAGAAGTGAGTTTTTTAAAGCTTTCTAAATTTCCTTGGGCAGTTTCTTTTGTTACGATCCTGGTCATTTCCCAAGTGCAAATTCACATTGAAAGACAATGCCACCCAATTGCGAAAGAAATGAAAGCACTTGCAAGAGATAAAGACCAGAGGAGAGGTAAGGAAGAAGAAGAAGAAGAAGAAGTACACCAGCAAGACCAATGACAATTCCCCCTTCTCTCTCCACCCTCCTCCTTCCTCCTTCTCTTCACCAATCTTATTCTTCTCTCAACAATAATAATAACAATGAATGGATGAACCAGAATCAATGTCCGAAGTTCCCCCTTACTGCTGACTCAACCCACAACCCAACAACAACAACAACAAGTCCACCATGGCTATGTCTTCCTTCCTTCAACCTCCTCTCTCAAGCATAGGTCATGGCGGACTACTGGAAGGCAGCTATGATGCTGCCCTGATGCCCGGAAGACAACCCAAAGCAGCTATGTCGCTGCTTGACTCGGTCCGCTATGCCTGACCCTGCCTCTAGCTGCCCTGGTGCAGCATTACCCCAACCGGGGCCTTCCAGATGCATGGCCCAACAAGGTGATGAAGACGGTGTCCACCATAGCCAGGTAAGTGCCCTACCACTCTCCTACCATGTCCCCCTTCTTCCTCCTTCAAGCTGGGGTGCTCGCCATAGCCAGGCTGAGCCCCADCAGACCTTCACCTCCAAGCAGCGCTACCTCAGACCAGCGCTGCGCTCCAGCAGCATGTYGCCAATCCTTGCATACCGCAAAATGAGGAAGAGCTCACCGCTCTTCCTGAAGATATAGCGGCCTACYGGCCTCCTGGGCGGTGACTTCCTAGGCCAAGCGGCCTCCCAGCAACCAGTACCTCCTCCCTTTTGGAGGGAAACATCATTGCAGGCTCTGTTATTGTCCGCACAGGCCCTAGACCCGGGCTACTTGGACTGGTACCGGCCTACCTCTAACCTACCGCTACTGGGCCTCTAAAAATGCCAACTTTTTGTCTTCTTCTGCTCGGCCTACCTGCTACTTGAGTGTTTTTCCCCAGCTGCTCTAAGTGCCGTGGGCCTACTCCCCGCTACCGGCATGTTTACCCCCCTGCAACCCTCCGAAGTCACGGCCACAGGTAAGTACCGACCCGGTGGGCCTTGCAACCAACAAGTACCCTGGGGGGTTACACACATACCCAACCAGCAAGCACTCAGACAGGCATGCAACCCAGCAGGCACGCACACACACACATCCGGCAAGCACTCAGTCAGGCATGCAACCCAGCAGGCACGCACACACACAGACTTGGGACCAGCAGAATGCGGGAATCACAGCAAGGCATTCATTCCATTGGCAAATCCCAGAAATCAGCAGTGTTCTCAGTCTGTGTTTTGGGCGGGTCATTACACTTTCAATAAAAATGATTGTTTGGATTTTGGTCTATGATGGTGTTTTTAAAGGTAAAGGAAAGCCCAAACATTAAGAGAGGATGGACAGAGATAAATAAATAAATAAATAAATGATATTTAAAAAAAAGAAGACGAACATATCAAATGAGAGAAGGAAAAGCGAAGACAAGGGAGAGGGAAGAAGAGAGAAGAGAGTGTGGTAAGAAAAAAAAAGGTAGCAACAGAATGGGATAAGGGGAGTGAAGGAAAGTGATGAGAAGGGGAGAACATGAAAAGGGAGAAAAGAAGGAAGGAGAGAGAAAAAAGGAAGAAAGGAAGGAAGGAGGGAAGGAAGAAAGGACATGCGAAGAATGCTAGCCACGCGCTGATGTTCAAAGCATCGGAACGAAGAAGTGTATAAGTCCGACAAGCGTTGATCGGGTTCATTAATAAACAATCATCATTTTAGCTATCTGCGCTAGACTGGAGATGAAGTGGCTGATAGATGACATGTCCTGGGAAACTTGCTTGTTGAAGGAAGAGCGGACAGCCTGCCGTGGAGATCATGAATGAGTTATTCTTGGTATGTGTTGTATAGGTTTATAGGATGGACCGTGTCCTGGCATTAGTGGTTAAGAGACTTGGCTCTTGAGGCCGAAGTCGCCGGTTCGAATCTGTGCTTGCACGGAGGAGGACTTAGGCCCAGATGTATGGAATCCGTACTACTACAGGATGGGAAAGAGTAGTCGAGAGTTGTCGCTGCATTTGGCATGAACACTGCATCCTCCCCTTTTCACCCAGCTGCAGTCCCAAGTTGAACTCACAATTTCACAAAGGAGATGTTTATTTTGAGCTATTTTCTGAGAAAAAATATTGACTTGACTAATGAAGATAACATTTTTTTCCTTTTTTAGAGGAAAAAAATCTGACTCTTTGTTGTATTTGTTTCACTGTTGTTTCGGGGGAAAAAAAAAAAACAGGTTGAGAGCCGTCTCGCCCAGCTTGACGAAAAGCTGCATGACACAAAGGAAAGCAGGGACACCCTCGAGGCAGAAGTCGAACTTTGTACAAAGAAGATCGAGAGAGCGACTCAGCTAATTTCTGGAGTTGGGACCGAAAAGTCAAGGTGGACGTTGAGGGCAGCGGAGTACGATCGTATTTTCATCAAGCTTACGGGAGATGTCGTTTTGGCCTCTGGCTTCATTGCGTACCTCGGAGCATTCACACCAACCTTTCGCGATGATTGTCTATTTGATTGGGTGAAGCTGTGCAAAGAAAAGAAGATACCTTGTAGCGATCCCTTCTCAATGGCGACTGTGCTGGGAGACCCGGTCAGAATCCGAACCTGGCATATTGCAGGCCTGCCAAAGGACACATGCAGCATTGACAATGCACTGATCATATCAAATGCAAGGCGCTGGCCACTCATGATTGACCCGCAGGTGATTTTTTTTTTTCTTTGTGTGTGTATGGGAGGAGGAGGGAAGGGGGGAAGGGGGCAAGGGGGCAAGGGGATAAGAATTTCCTCTTACTCGAAAGCAAAATAAGGGCTGGCTTGCTTTCAACCAGTGGACTTTTACCGTGTGGTGGGACATGCAATCATTTTACTATTTGTTATAATAACAACTTGCTTCGCACCCGCAATGCAGGTGGTGCGGGCTATGCCCTCGCTAACATAAAAAATATGAAACATTACACAAACTGCTCACACTGACTCAAATGGACCTATACGCTAAAACAAACTAAAATGTCACTCAAAACAAGCTCAAACTGACTCTTAGCAGTTCAGTGACAGATGCAAAGAGAGTTCAACCTGACTAAGAACACAATTGCATAGATTGAAACATATCGACAAACTCAAAATTGAATATTGGGGGGTGGAGGGGAGAAAGGTAGTGTGTGTGTGTGTGTGTGTGTGTGTGTGTGTGTG